TTCCTGCTCAGCTCTGAAAGCGCCAAAAGTTACCTAGCGAAGGCTTGAATCGATGTTCATTCAATTTATTGAAAAAATCGCATTTAAACCAGTCAGGCTCATCGATGAAACACTTGATCAGAGAGATAACCTGGAAAAGTTCACCCAAGATGACAAAAGTTGCATGGCAAAAAAAAGCACTCACAAAAGCCTTTTCCACTTCTAAAGTATCGATTTGAGCAGGCTCAAGACCTACATGATCTGCTGCGACACGAAGCATAGCAGTTGCAGCAACCAGTATTTCAGTAATTGCAGCTGAACGTTGTTTTAATGTCCAGTGAGCACGATCCAAAAGAGAATTGATGCGTCTAAAAGAAAAAGCAACTTAAAGTGGCAATAGATATTGCCTCAGTTTCACCGATAATTATATTCGTTCTGGAAGGGCGCCAACAATACTCCGCGTACAGACGGAGCAATTCGTGCAAAGGTATGCCAGCTTGCAGGGGGCATTCGGGATTTTGGCGTAGGTGGTACCAATATTCCGCCAGCGGCTGTTGCTCCAGCTGTGAGCGCAGCTATCAAACTTCCCAACTGGAACGCATGATAGTTGCAAAAACGATCTCTAGTATAATGAAATGAAGCATAGAAAGTTCAGTGAATCAAAAATACCTAACCTCTCCTTTCTCAAATTGCTTCCCATCAGCTAAGATATTGAGCGTTGCGCTGCCATTGCCTGTTCCAAGTTGCTGAACCTCGACAATGCTATCCAACTGGGAAGCTACAACGGGATCAAGCTGCGCCTTCAAATCTTTTTTCAGCTTCCTTGGAAAAACCCCATTCCTAGAAAAAGAACATTAGACTTTTTGACAAGAATATATGAAACTTTATAACATCAAAGAAAAAATATGAATATTGTGTAGCTGACGAGAAAGTTCTGCATGGTACTGAAACAACATTTAATTCGCACTAAAACACCAATTCAAATGCCTATTAAATCCAACATCATTTACGCTTGAACTAAGGTCCTATGAATTAGATGTCGCAGATGACAGTTGCCAGCAATTTCCCTATACAAATTCCCATTCCCATTAGTACAGTGCATAGTGTTACAGCAAACCTGCTACAATTTACCGTATTACTTTAAAAAGACATAATAAGCAAAATTTTAGCATACTTTTCGAAGAAAATTCCCTCCTGTCGGATAGTATAGTGGAGTGGAAGTAGGCTTTTTAAAATGCAACTTTCCTCTTCATTCTTTTTTTTCACCTACGATAAGTGAGCTTTAATTGAACGCGATTAATTCAAGAGAAGTTAATTTGAACGATAGAGATCAGAATTATGCAACATATTAGGCACGGATGAAAAAGATCGACAAATAGACGAAACATTTTGTTGGCAGCTGGCTGCTTTCTTCAGTATTTGAGCCACGATTGATATAAAGCTTCGTCTGAAAGCGCTTAATTTTTCTCTATGAGTTGTATAGCCGGAATCAAAGGAGAAATTAGCCGTTTGGCGCCAAATTAAATCGTAGTAAAACATGCTTGAATGATTCAAACGTGAGTGATAGAGTAGTAATCCAAGTTTCAGAACAAAATCAATTCCTAGGGGGAAAAATGAAAAGGCATCTTAAAGTGAGAAGTGAAATACGTAGGAAAAATTACTCAGCTACTGAAGCTTCATTGCAAATCTTATGAATAAACATTGCATCTTCTTTACAGCACCTGCTTATTATCATCATCAAGATCCTCAAGA